AAGAAGTTAATGAAGCCAAAGAGATCCCAATCTGAGCAGCGTTATTCGTCCCCGTCGCTGCAACATCTTGTCTTACGTCTTCAGCCTTTCTGCGTTTGCAGGTAGTCCTCGATTTACGACGCTTTGTTTAGTGACCGTCGAAAGCTGTAACAGCCCTGAAAAAAGCGATTTTCACACTAATGACCGTTGCAGGATCCCCCATGGTGATCAAAATTCTGGCGCTTGGCAACTTGTTTCACATTTACGACGGCCGCAGTGTCCCGGGATCATGTGATCCCCTTTGGGGACCTTCTGACAAGCAAAGTCAACGGGGGAAGCCAGATTCAATGAACAACCGGGTCACTAACTGAACAACTGCCGTAATTTGTGGCTGGAAAGGTCGTAAAATGGGACACAATTCATTTAACAGCTGTCTTGCTTAGTGACATAAACATTGGGTCATACGCCGAGGACTGCCTGTATGTCATTGCACCCAAGCTTAGAATGTTGGGATGGAGACATTTGGGCGATCCCTTGCAAAAATCCACCAGGATCCGCAAAAAAGGGACAGAAAGGCAGAAGAAATCCTTTGCAGCAGCCCTCATTATCCTGGCCCAGCCCATTGTGGACTACCTTGCAGGGCTCTTATGAGGATAAAAGCATGGTGGGCTGGGGAAAAAAAAAAGCTATCCATGCCACTTCAAATTGGTGGAAGATACACTGTAATACACGCGTGCAAATGCACATGTGCAAATATGCACGCACGTGTGCAAGCGCGCATGCGTGTAAACATTGGCAACTCGCACATTTATTTATTTATTTATTTATTTATTTATATTTAAACTTCTATGCCGCCCTTCTCCCCAGAGGGACTCAGGGCGGCTCACAGCATGTTAAAAAAAACAACACAAAAAACATTTCCCCTATAAAACCAATTAAAAAGCAAATATATTAATAGCTGTGTCATATTTAAAATCTTTGAAAATTTTTAAAAATTATTCCCTATTTAAAATTCACCCTAGGTCAGTCCCGCTTGTTGAAAAAGCCATGTCTTGAGGGCGCGGCGGAAGGTTAGGAGATCCGGAATCGTCCGGNCATTTGCTGACAGCTTCACTGGAGAGCTTGGCTAACGCGGGCATGCGTAAGCCACGCCCACTTTGGGCTGCGGGCCAATCGCGCGCATCTTTAGGAATGACGGCATCCACATTGTTTTTAAAAAAAACCAAGGCTCTGTCGGCGCATGCGCGCTCGATGCCTCGGCTTACCTGAAGGCCCCACCAGTGGGCGCCCACGCTGCTCGCGTAGTGGCCGAGTTGAAGCGTCACCACCTCGCGGACCCCCGACATTTCCCCCCCCCCGCTCTCGTTTCGCGCTCCCGCTACGAAGGGGGCGACATAGGCCGTTGAAGTAGGGGGGGGAAGAAGGGTTTAAAGAAGAAAAAATTACTCGGTCTGCGCAGGCGCGAATGGTAAGCCCGTCCGTCGCGCGCGACTGAAGGGGCGGGGAAAGCCAACGCGGTCTTTTCATTGGCTCTCACCGGCCACCAATCAGTAGGGAGCCGCCCACGGCCTCCATCCTTGTAGCTCCCCTCAGTATAGACCGCAACCTCATTGGTTGAATGGATAGGAATGGGGAGGGAGTGAAGAGTCACTTCCGGTGAGGACGAGCCCTGTCTTCCCGTCCGCTTTCATCCTTGTGAATGCTAAGCCGCTCTGCCCGTTATTTTCTCTATGATAGCCTCAAGGAATTAATAGGGCGAATTGGCTAACAACATTTGAGTGGATTTTTTCCCCCATGCAGCATATTGTAAATTGAATAATGGAAGTTTATTCCATTATTTGCTCATAAATCTACCTGGAATACACGTTGTTCAACTCTCAGCAAGCCTGCAATCTAAAACAACCAACCTAGAGGAAGAAATAACAATAATAATAAGAGTTGGAAGGAGCCTTGGAGGTCATCCAGTCCAACCCCCTGCTCAGGCAGGAAACCCTATCCCATTTCATACAAATGACTGTCCAGTCTCTTCTTAAAAACTTCCAGTGTTGGAGCATTCACCGCTTCTGGAGGCAGGTTGTTAATAATAATAATAAAGTTGGAAGGGACCTTGGAGGTCATCTAGTCCAACCCCCTGCTCAGACAGGAAACCCTATACCATTTCAGACAAATGGCTGCCCAGTCTCTTCTTGAAAACCTCCAGTGTTGGAGCATTCACCACTTCTGGAGGCATAGCAGGATAAATAGCCAGTGGGGAAAGGAAAACTCAAGACTCCCATTACTAAATATTAGGTATAACAAGCAGCTAAATTTGAAATTAAGTAGTCCAAAGCCTGAGAAAGCCATCATCCTCATACCTTCTCATGTAATAAAGTGGAACTGAATTTGTTTTCACCCAACAGTGAAAAAATGTCTACCTAATAGCTATTTTATTGGTACCTCTGGATTTTACCTAGTTTTAGCTTAATTTCTTTCACTACCAACAAAATCCAACGGGACGAGGAGACAGGAAAAGAATACCATAAAATTAATTATAGAAACAGCATCTAGTTAAGAATTGAACTTTACTTCAAGCACGTCTTCCCAACGCACCGAGTTAAAATTTGATGGGTTTAATTTGAGGCAGTGTCTGTAAACAGCTTTGAATTCACTTGATGGGGGAAAAAAAAGAGCATTAATTTTTCTAGGAGCCAACATTCCCGGTTAACGTACAAACAGCCCACGCCAAAGAAGCAGCTTTGAAAGCATTTATTACAAGGGAATTTAAGCCGTGAGGTCCGTGTGTCGGGAGAGATCCTTGGCTACAAAATCGCGCTGATTCGCTCAAACAATCCGGGGTTGCGTCCAGACAGAAAACGGAGCTCTAATCGACCCTCCTTGGTGCCGGCTATTTCAGCACGGAAAGAATTTCATATACATATTAAAAAAAAAGAAAAAAAAGGTCAGGTTAGGAATGGGCTCCAGAACAAACACACACACAAATAATCTAACAAGCAAGTTTTATTTTATTAATTAGGATATTTTTTTATCCTGCCTTTATGATTGTTATAAATAATTCAAGATGGGGAACATTCCTAGTACTGCTTCCTCCTATTTTTTTTCCAGAAATAATAATAATAATAATAAAGTTGGAAGGGACCTTGGAGGTCATCTGGTCCCGGTTGAGAGGGAGGGACTGGCTTAAAGTTGCCCAGTTTGCTTTCAAGCCTAAGGCCGGACTAGAACTCACCACCTCCTGGGGACTGGCCCAAAGTTACCTAGTTTGTTTTCAAGCCTAAGGCAGGACTAGAACTCACCGTCTCCTGGGGACTGGCCCAAAGTCACCCAGCTGGCTTTCATGTTTAAGGCAGGACTAGAATTCACCATTTCCTGGTTTTTACCCTGGTGCCTTGACACAGAGATGAACAAATCTCTGACTTTACACTCCTGCCCTTTTTAACCAGGCAGGAAACCAAAATCGAAGCAAACCGACCGCCTGGCTCTGAAAATAGCTGAACTTGCCTTTTTCATGCCCCAGCCACTTGCGTTCCAGATAATACTGGTAGCAACTCTCAAACTCCAGATCTGTGTAGTCGCAAACCTGGATGGGAACGAAAGGCTCCAGGGCGGCAAAACCATCCTGGAGTTTAGAAATGAATGGGGGGGAGGAGGGGGGGAAAATGAAGATGAATACGACGAGATTAGATAGTGGAGATTCTTTCAGCTGGTCGAAGAAAAGGAGGGCAGTTAACCTGAATGCGAAATCTACCCTCTTCCAGCCCCTCCTTTGGAACAGAATATTCGTAGCTCAGGGCTGACGGGTGGGGTCCCTGGGGCTGTCTGAGGCTGGGGGTTTTCTCGCAGATGTTTCATGACCCAGCTAGGTAACATCATCAGTGCTAGAAGGGAGGGGGGGAGGAGGAATAGGACAACGACGACAACGACTGTGGTGTCCTGGATGCTCTCTGAGCTTGGTAGTTTCCTTGCAGACGTTTCACGACCCAACTAGGTAATACCATCAGTGATAGGGGAAATTTTCTGGGAGGAGGAGGAGGAGGAGGAGGAGGAGGAGGAGGACAACTGTGGGGTTCTTGATGCTCTCTGAGCTGGGTGGTTTTCTTGCCGATGTTTCATGACCCAACTAGGCAACATCATCAGTGCTAGAAGGAGGATTTGTAGAAACCTCATTCCCTTCTATGCTGATGTTTACCGAGTTGGGTCATGAAACATCTCCCAAGAAAACCACCAAGCTCAGGCAGCACCAAGGAGCTCAGGCCCTCTTCCTCCTCCATCTCTTCCTCCTCCCTCCTCCCAGCACGGATGATGTTGCCTTGGTAACGAAACACCTGCAGGGAAGCCACCACGTTCGGACATTCACAAAGGACCAGACCGTCCTTCTGAATATTAGTCAAGCCAAGGAGGGTGAGGAGAGTTGGACTCCTTTAAGAGCTGGTTTCCAACTCGACCCTCCAACCAGCTGCTCACTCACCCGTCCCAGCAGTTCGTGCGGCAAATAAAAATGTCGGAGCGTGGCGGGTGCTCCTGTTTGGCTGAGGGTGGCTACGACGGCCCCTCCTGTCTGGAAAGACACAAGAAACAACAACACCGTCAGAGCCACAAGTCTATCCACGGTCAGCCTCCTGGAAGCTGTGGCATCTGCCTCGGCTCCGTATCCGTCTTAAGGGGCTGTCCTCACCCAGTCGTTTGCCACCATCTTCCTGAGGTTGTGTATCAGCGTCAGCTCCTCCACAGAGACCTGAAGAGGAAGAGAGAAAAGAGAAAAATATTACATTTTCAGCAAGGCTGGAAAAAGATCGTTACGTCACCCTCATTACTGACAACACACTGGGAAGGTTAGAACACTGAATATCAGAGCTGGAAGGGACCTTGGAGGTCTTCTAGTCCAACCCCCTGCTCAGGCAGGAAGCCCTATCCCATTTCGGACAAATGGCTGTCCAGTCTCTTCTTCAAAACTTCCAGTGTTGGAGCATTCACCGCTTCTGGAGGCAGGTTGTTCCACTGGTTAATTGTTCTCACTGTCAGGAAGTTTCTCCTTAGTTCCAGATTGCTTCTCTCCTTGATTAGTTCCCATCCTTTGCTTCTTGTCCTGCCTTCAGGCGCTTTGGAGAATAGCTTGACTCCCTCTTCTCTGTGGCAGCCCCTGAGATACTGGAAGACTGCTATCAGCCCCCCCCCCCAATCCAGTCACTAAACAAATGGTCTTAAGTCCAGGACTGCCTTTATGTGCTAAGCTACACTTGAACCGAACGTCACGGGCCGAGTCAAGGAGGGAACCTACGTTTTGCTTGTTATGTTTCAACGCCGTCTTCCCCCAAAGGGAGTTGATTCCATCCACCGCCACAAGCAGCCGGAAGGATCCTTGGCAGGATTGCTGCTTCAGCTCTTTCAAGATCACCCCGATGGCATCGCTGGCGTATTTCACCCAAGCCAAGCCCTGAGGAAGGAAGGTACAAGATGGATGGATAGATGGCTAGACACACACACACACACACACAGAGGGATAAAGATAGAAGATGGATGGGTGGGTGGATGGCTAGAATAGATGCACAGGAAGGAAGGAAGGAAGGAAGGAAGGAAGGAAGGAAGAAAAAGGGGAGGAAGGGGAAGTGGAAGTGGAGGGAGAAAACAGTGGGCCATCTTGCCATCCAGGAGAACAACTGGGCTACAAGCTCCATGGTTTGCAGGATGGTGATTTAATCCTGGCTTCTTCTTTTTTTTTTTTTTTAAGAATTCAAGGTGGCCTCCATAATGCTCCTGCCTCCTATTTTCCCCACAACCACCACCCTGTGGGGCAGGTCAGGCTGAGAGGAAATCACCCAATTGGCTTTCATGCCTATGGTAGGACTAGAATTCACCGTCTCCTGATGACTGGGCCAAAGTCACCCAGTTGGCTTTTGTTTCTAAGGCGGGACTAGAACTCACCATCTCCTGGTGATTGGCCCAAAGTCACCCAGTTGGCTTTCAAGCCTAAAGCAGGACTAGAACTCATTGTCTCCTGGTGATTGGCCCAAAGTCACCCAGTTGGCTTTCAAGCCTAAGGCAGGGCTAGAACTCATCGTCTCCCAATTTCTAATCCAGCCCCCGAAGCACTACAAGAAACCGGCTCTCTTTTAACACGCTAGGGAGATCCCTAAAGCCCCTCAGAGATCTTTAAAGTAAAACAGCCATGAATAAGGACCACCCAGGTTAGCAATAAACTACCCCACAGGCAGTGGATGTAATTCAATTGTCATAGTATACGAATTCCACCCTTCTTCCACTTTTAATATTAGCCTCACCTTGTCAGTCAAGTCTATCAGAGAACAGCCCTCTTCGGTGACATCACGCTTACCCCATACGTACTTCTGTTGTGTTTTGATCTGCAGTGCACAGAGACAAGAAAAAAAGAAACACTAAATGAAACGGGAAAATCCTGACCGTGAAAAGAAGGACGTGAAAACAACAGATGTCCAGAGATTTATTGCTCCTGAGCCTGGAAATTCCATGTAGCTTTCCAAAGAAAAGAACTTAAATGAACGTGTTTTTTTTTTTTAAGTCAAGGGCGACCTGCAATCGAATGCGTGTTTTTCTCTCCCCCTCCCCAGAGGTTAAGAGGGATTTTGCCAACCTGGGCTAAAATCTTTTCATTGGTGATCCTGAAATTCTTCAGCCAGTTTGCCGCTTCCATGGGCTGGTCTAATCGCTCGGGATTGTAGGAAGATGGCAGCAGTTCTTTACAATTCTTCACCCAGAGGTGAACTGCGGCAGGGAGAGAAAGAACGACGGTGAGGCAAAGACATATAACAAGCGTCTCGTTCTAACGTCGGACGCCGTCCAGCATCGGCCGAAGGTACCAGCATCCCGTTGAAGCTCTCCGAATAAAATGGCCTTCTTTCCCAGGACGTTTTCCCCTGGATTTCCTGAGCATTCTGCTCTCAAGAATACTGCCCAAACCTTTAAAAAAAAACAATTTGGAATACCCTTTCTTTAAAAAATAAAATAAAATAAATACACACAGACTTGAGTTTAGCTATTGCTCTTACCGTCTGGAATGTGAACGATGACCCAGTTCTGCCTGGCACAATAATGGACAGCGTGGCAGAGAACCATGGTCTTTCCTGTGCTCTTCTCTCCATCTTCAAGACTGTTTAAGGAAGAAGCCACACCTGCATGCATGTACAGGTATTCCTTGAGTTCTGTCTGTTCATTTTGTCGACCGTCCCGAGTTACGACGGCACTGAGCATCTGACTGCGGGATGCTGCAAAGGGCTGCCAAAGCTAGCCCGGGTGCCCAGCGTCCAAAACTGCAGCCGTGTGACTGGGGTTGTCGATGCGAGCAGCCAAAGAGGTCATAATTAGCTCTGGGGACATCCTCTGTAACTTTGAACGGCCGCTAAGCGAGGACTACCTGTATAGGATCACAGCTCTTTCAAAGGAGAAGGGATCCTGCTGGGTCTAACCCTGTTTTTAGTCCGTTATCCTGCAACGACGTCATCATGAGGGCCAGAAACTCGCCTGGTCTCACTCGGCGAAAGAACAGCATCAAGAGACCCAGAAAGGATACAGAGGAGATATCGGACGGCTGGATGAGCCAAGTTGGCGTGTTTTAGGTAGCTAATGAGTTCTAGCGCCGGCTGTCGAATCATGACGCAAGCTTCGTTGAAGGTTTTCATCTGTCAGGGAAAAGAGAAAGCAGATGGAGCAGGGGGCCTTCAAACTGGGCCCTTTGATGACTTGTGGACCTCAACTCCCAGAATTCCTCAGCCAGGCTGAGGAATTCTGGGAGTTGAAGTCCACAAGTCATCAAAGGGCCCAGTCTGAAGACCCCAACATCAGAGTAGAGTTTGGGCTGGAAGAACAGCCGAGCCCTGGGGCTGCTTCGGAAGGCACGGCCCAGGGTTCACAAAGGGCTCCCCCGGCCACATGTGGAAAGGCAGACACGTCACCTGGAGTTTGAAGCGAGTTGGAAGCCCATGGGGGAGCATTTGCTTCACTTCCTCGGACGAGAGGGTGTAGTAGCGACCTATGTGGTCTTCGCCGTGCTTGGCCTGCAGGATGGAAAGAAAAAAAGGCGGTGCAGAGATCAGTCGGCGTGGATCATCGTGCCGAATTTTCAAATGTCCTTTTGTTCTGGAAGCCACAACGAAACCTTCCCAGCAGTTCAGAGAAACCCACAGGAAGGAATAGACGGCGTTGCACACAAGGAGAATACGGGCAGCCCTCGACTTAACGGCCGCAAGTGAGCCGAAAATCTCTGCAGCTATGCGAGACGTTGAAGTGATTTGGCCCCGCTTTACGACCTTTCTCGCGAATCGCTGCGGTCGTTAAATGAATAACAGGGCCGTTAAGCGGATCCAGCTTCCCCGGTGGACTTGGCTTATCAGAAGATCGCAAAAGGGGGACGCTGCGACCGTCGTAAATATGAACCAATTGCTAAGCATTTGACTTTTGATTGGGATGCTGCAACAGACCTGTGAAAAACAGCCACAAGTCCCTTTTTTCGATGCCGTTGCAACTTTGGACGGTCACGAAATGTACTGTTAAGTCGAGGACTACCTGTATATCTTGTCGTTTATCCAGAGGTATCTAGAAGGCTCTGGATAGAGGCCATTGGGGCTTCATGCAATCGTGCTTCCTGTCTTGGAGCATAAAAGCGGTGGGACCCAGAATGCCTTTAGCCCAGTGGGCTAAAATTTCTTTCTTGATGCGCCGGTGATCTCGAACGGAGTAAAACAGGATTAAATCCATCGCCACCCTCAGCTTTGGGTGCCTATGCCCACACTGGGTTTATTTGTTCCAAGTTAGCAGGAAAAGATCAGTTGCCTGGCAACTGGGAGACTCTGGATGGCAGGGGCTGGCCCCGCGCTCCTGCGGATGCTGGGAGGCTGCATGTGTGTGTTACACGACAGGGTCTTGCTTGCCTGTTGCAGTTTCCATGGAGACCCCCAGAAGATTCAGCGGGGGGGGGGGAATTCTCCATGGCAGAAAACCTCCCGAGGACGTTTTTGTTTGCTGCAGCTCCAATTGTAAAAAACGATGGAGGCACCTTCTCCCTAAACAGACACACACCTGATGGGAGCTTCTGATTTTTTTTAGGATGTGTTCCTTTTGAATGGCGGGGCTGTTCGATCGTTTTTGCTGCCGCACAAATGACATAGCGTGTGTGAATGGCTGGAATGACAGCACCGGTCTGACTTTATAAATAAATTTAAAAAATGCAAGCAAAATCTGCCCATTGGCAATTGGTGTCACAAGTTATGGATTGGGAGCTTATATAAAGAAATAACGTGAATTCCAGATTTTTAGGAGACCCTTGCAGCTTTCTTATAGGTGAGGAAGGGATTGGGGATCTCCCAAGCAAACCCTTTGCAGGTTGCGGGTCAAGGTGGAACTGAAAATCAGCTCTACAGGGAAACTGGAACTCAACTTTCTTTGTAGGGTATAATAATAATAATAGATATGGACACAATGACAGGAGGAACTAATGAAAAAGCTCTAATGCGGGGAAGGGAAGAGAGGAAGAGGACTACCATCAAGAAGCTGGAGGGGGCACTACTGGGAGACTTGAAAGAACAGATTAGGGACAGATTGTCATGGATAACAGCTATCAGCTAGGAGTCGAACACAAATTGATGGCACACAATCAAAAAAACAGTAACAGAATCTTGCAAATCTTTGTGGCTTTTTTGATCTGGTTTACCTCAAAGGGCTGACCTCCCCACCCCATCAATCCAAGTTAAATAGATGCTGGAGAAAAGGTGAAACAGTGGAGCTTACGTACAACTTAAAATGATTGCCGGATTATTCTCAACAGTCAAACACAACTCATGCCGACCAAGGCAACCCTCTTTCCAAATGAACACACACACAAGGCTCAGTCAAACTATAAATATTCTACTTCGCTCGGTTCAGAGTCGCACACCATTGTCAGTCTACAGATGATTGGAAACACCCTTTCCGCACCTAATATTAACTCACTGGGTCATTCTCGCTGGTAACGAAGGCAGCTCTAAGCATTTCTGGTTGAAGCTGGGCATTCTGGGTTGACATTGTCCTCTGCCAGCTTCTGGGGTGGAGAAAGCCATCCAGTTCCAGCTAAGGAAAGAAAAAAGTCTGCATGAGCTCCTGGCTTTTCAAAATGACAGCGAGAAAAAGAAAGGCGATCTGCTAAAACTTTAAAAATAAAACAAAAGGAACAAGCAGTTGGGTATCCATAGCCTGAAGAAGAAATGAACAGCACGACTGTACGTTTTGGTGCCTCAAAAGCCATGCCTTCTCCCCAAATCAAAAGACAGGTGGATGAACTCACCTTGTATCCCCGAGGGATAAGTTTCCTCAAAGTCCTCAGCATGGTCCCCCCTGCCAATAAAAATAGCAGTTGTTTGGAACAAAAGGTATTTTGTTTCTTTTAAGCAGGACTTTTTCCCCACTTTTTAACTTTCTGAAAGGCAAGCTTGGAGTAGCAGTTATGTAACTCCCTCGAGGGCGTAAAGGAAAGAGTTACCGGTAGTTTCCAGAGGGATTAGAGACCAGCAAACCAATTCTTTTCTGAAGTGTAAGTTGCAAAAGGATCTCGTCTTAATAATAATAACAATAACAACAACAACAACAATAATAAAGTTGGAAGGGACCTTGGAGGTCATCGAGTCCAACCCCCTGCCCAGGCAGGAACCCTACACCATTTCAGACAAACGGCTGTCCAGTCTCTTCTTTAAAACTTCCAGTGTTGGAGCATTCACCAATGAGTTTCCCCAAGAAAATATGGGGCTGTTCCAAGTCAAGCATGCCTTTTCCAAAAAAACTCTTCATTTTCAATATTTTTGCTTTCCAACCTCCAACGTGGGACATACAGGAAGCCCCTGACTTAAAACAGTTCATTTAGTGACCGTTTGAAGTTACAACGGCACTGAAAAAAGGGACTTACGACCGTTTTTTTTTACACCTTTAAGACCGTTGCAGCATCCCCCTGGTCATGTGATTAAAATTTAGACGCTTGGCAACTAGTTCATATTTACGACAGTTGCATAGTCTTGGGGGGGGGGGTGCCATGTGATCCCGTTTTGCGACCTTCTGACAAGCCAAGTCAATGGGGGAAGCCAGATTCTGCAGTGAGTCCCTCAACAACTGTGGCAAGAAAGGTTGTGAAATGGGACAAAATTCACTTAACAAATGTCTCGCTTAGCAACATTTGGGGCTCAATTGTGCCCGTAAGTCGAGGACTTATCTGGACTTGATTCTTGCTGGATTATTTAGTGCAGTTTTTTCTCCCCTCCAATTTGTTTCTTCAAGGTTGATCACGAGGAATGTGAGCCTCCGCTCTCACCTCTATTTTCATCTACAGGTAGTCCTCGACTATACGACCAAAACTGAGCCCAAAGTTTGTGACGCCGAGTGACGTTTGCTACACCAGCTTTGCCTCATTTTACGACCTTTCCTGCGACATTTCAATAGTCTTTCCTGTCATTGTGTAACTCACGATGAAATTCATTGCCATGTGCACACTACACACAAGTAAAAACCACTTCAGGGAATCCTCGCAGTTGTTAAGTTAGCCACATGGCTGTTAAGTGAATCTAGCAGACTTGGCTGCTCAGAAGGTCGCAAAAGGGGGAATCACGTAACCCAGGGACACTGCGACCGTCATAAATACGAGTCAGTTGCCAAGTGTCTGAATTTTGATCACGGGACCATGGGGATGCTGCAACGGTCATTAAGTGTGGGAAACAGTCATTGAAACTTCGGTCACTAAACGAACTGTTGTAAGTGGAGGACTTCCTGCAGATTTTAAAGGACATTTCAAATTCCTTTCTACAACGGTGAGGCCCAACTAAAGACCCACTCTAGAGGCACCAGGCCAGGGGTCTTCAAACTTGGCCCTTTGACGACTTGTGGACTTCAACTCCCAGAATGCCTCAGCCAGCGTTGCTGGCTGAGGAATTCTGGGAGTTGAAGTCCACAAGTCGTCAAAGGGCCAAGTTTGAAGACCTCTCCGCTGGGTAACTTCGGGTCAGGAGACAAGAAAGCTTCGCCACTTCGTAGCCACCACAGCCAGCAACCTGTCCCCATTTGGAGCCCCGCCCCCCACTAAGTCGGGAAAGGCTGCACAACAGCCCTGCGAGGTAGGCTCGCTCGAGAGACCAGCCCAAGGATGGGATCGTCCTTCCTCGCGGGGTCGTCTCCAGAGTTTATACGAAGAGACACGACGGCCGGGTGACGTCTAATTGTGTTTCCCCCCCCCACACACACACACAAACCTCGCATCAACTGGGGAATAAAAGCAAAAAAGCTCCCCCCCAAAAAAGGCCTGGTCGTCCCCGCCTTCGGCCAAAGATCAAATATATCTTCCTCCTCACAAAAAAGTGGAAAAAAGGAAAAAAACCGCCAACCGCCGCGAAGGGATTAAAAAAAATCTCCGCGGTTCCCTCAGGAGTTTTCCGCCGTGCTGGGCGCCGCCATCTTAACTCGCCGCGCGCCTCAGCTCGACGGCGTCCCCGCGTTCGGCCGACGGGTCCCGCCGAGGGACAATCTTCCTCGGTCCGAATCTTTTTTTTTCTTCTTCTTCTTCTTCTTTCAAACCCGCCCACAAGGAGCGCGAGTACGCGCTCCCCCTCCCTCACCCTGGCTTCTTTCGGCAGGGCGACGACGATTGGCGGGCCGCGCTGAGGGGAGGGCGTTGATTGGCTGAGACCCGCGTCTCTTCTCTCTCTCTCTCTCTCTCTCCCGTCCCCTCCCCGCCCCTGCCAGCCAGGGAAGGCATATCCCGCTCTGAGGGAAGAGGAAAAAAAGAGAGAGAGGAGGAGGAGGAGGAGGGGTGGTTTCAAAAAAAAAAAAAAAAAAAAAAAAGGAGGGAGGGAGGGAGTGGTGGGCGTGGCCAGGGCGCGCTCCAGCGCGAGGCAGGAGCGCGCAGGCGCGCGCTGAGGCCAGAGCGCCGCCGCCGTCGCCGTCACCGTCGCCGCCGCCGCCGCCGCTCGCTGCCGCCATTTTGGATCCGCGGCCGCCCTCAAGAGTGAGGGGCGAGCGAAGGAGCCAGGCCGAGGCCGCCGTTGCCGCCCGGCTCCGGCCTCGCCCGACCACCCGCCACCACCGAGCAGCAGCAGCAGCAGCAGCCGCCATCCGGCCTGCGGGATGAGGCGGCGGCCTGGCCGCGATACGGTGCGTGGCGGGACCGGCCGGGGAGGCGGCGGAGATGAGGGGGGGGGGAGACCGTGCCACCGCCCTGACAGCTAGGCCGAGGCGTGACAGACTTTCCGAGGCCGGGAAGGAGGGAGAACCGAAGGGAAGCCCCGCTCGCCTAGGCCGCTCTGGGCTTCGGGGTGGGGGGCAAAGGGGGCTCCCCGCGGAGGAGGGGGGAAAGGGGGAGGGAAAAAACCCTTTGGNNGTGTGTGTGTGTGTGTGTGTGTGAGTGAGAGAGTTTGTGTGAGTCTGTTAGGACCGAGTGTGCACCCGTTTGTGGTTGTAGGGTGTGTGCGTGTGCATTGTGTGAGCATACCTTCGAGTATATTATGTGTATCAATTGAGAGTGTGTGTGTGTTTGCACCTTTATCTCAGTCTCTTAGGTTTGTGTGTGCACCCGTTTATGGGCGGGTGTATATTCTATGGTGTGTATATATTGTGTCTCCTCATCTTTATCTGAGTATATTAGGTGTGCGTGCACACCTTAGTCTGAGTCTGTTTGGTCTGTGTGTGCCCCCCCTCTACGGGGGAGTGTCATGTGTGCGCACACCTTTAAGTCCCATGTATATGAGTGCAAGTTTGGGTGAGTCTTTGAGGATTGTGTGTGCACCTGTTTATAGGGGGGGGGGTTGTATGGTGTGTGTGTCTGTGTGTGTTATTATGTAGCACCCTTTTATCTGAGTGTGTGTAAGATGTGCGGGCAACCGGTTCACTGAGTCTATTCGGTCTGTAGGTGCAGCCATTTATGGGGGGTATATTATGTGTCTGCACGCCTTTATCTGGGTGTTATGTGTGACTCTGTTAGGATTGTGTGCACACAGTTATGGGGGTGTATCATGGGTGTGTGTGCTATGTTGGCATATGCACACATTTATGGGGGGTATTATGCTTGCATGCATAATTTATATACTCCTGTGTGTACTTCCAAAGATAGATATGTATGGGTGTAGAGCTACACACCTGCACAATATGTCCCCAGATACTTAGATATACGAGAGTTGATGGCTTAAGAGAGCCGCTTAATCTAGTTGGGGGGGGGAGACTCCCTATTCTGGCACAGGATCTTGTTTGGGGGGATGCTTCCTGACTCCCTTATATTGGGGGGCGGTTGACTGAATCGGTTGCAGACTCAACAGCTTTATTTTGTAGGTTTCCCTTTTGAGATTTTTGTTCACACTTGTGCGCTTGGTTTTTTTTTTATATAGTGTTCAGGGCCAGGTGGGGGATAAATTGCAATAGGGGAATTTACATATGGCACCCTTGTGGGATTCCCTCATGTTGAGACTTTGTGTTGTCAGATTCTTGGGTCCTCGCTGTTCACCCTGGAGGTTGTGGTCCAGCTCCAGAATTCTTGATTTTGATGTGGGAAGTCTTCCTTAACTGTGAGGTGTATCTCTACACTTGTTTGTTTAACCAGGTGTCTGTGTGTGTAGACTTTGGTTCTAGATACAGTATCTATGTATAAAAATTATTTTGGGGTCGTCAATAAGGTGGCAATTCAGAGGGCTGAACCTTCTATCTAAAGTGTGTATGAAACTCTTGACCACACAGTTCCATAGTTAGAAACTTTTGCAGAGGGTTGCTAAATAAATTTGATTTCCAAGAATTATTGCCGAGTGCTTCCAGCATGAACTGTATGTACAAGCCGAAGATCAATTCCTTGATATCAGCTCAGTATTGCCATATAGTCAGCATAAGGCATATTTCATTAGTGAGAGGTAGCACAGAGTGTGCTATGGGCACACTGTCATGCATAAACACGCATGTGTTTTGTTTGGAAAACTCTTAGCCAATCGCTGTTTCCTAGTGTGTCCATGTATCATAATAGATCATCACACACAGAGAGATTACATGTGCTTTTGCATGCTGATTTTTTTTTTATTTAAATGTTGCCTTTGGCTCCCATATGGCGAAAGAGACTCTTGACAATCAGGTTAAACTGTTTAGAACTGCCCTGGAGAGCAATTCCTGCACAAATCCTGTGCAGGTAGTTTTATAAAGATTGCTAATAATTTTTGTTTTCATATGCCACAATGCATAAGCTCCCACGGACCATTTTGCTGGTCAATTTGGGTTTTGTAAAATAGAGGAGAAAAAGAGTGCTGTATAAGATTTAAAAGATGTTCAATATCATGTATCCTACAGCCAGAGCAGGACTGTCATGTCATTATATGGGAATAAATGACATGTCATTATTGGGAATAAAATATACCTATCAATGCTGGTATCCATGTGTGACTTTTTTCTCCTCTGGTGGAAGCAAATAGCTTGCCTTCTTTTTGTCCCTGAAACAACATTTTTACAACTAAGAGGTTTTGCTTTTATTATTATTATCATTGCATAATAAGGCTTCTCCTTGTTTTCCTTATGTGATAACTTTCACCTCTTTGTTCATCAACCCGAGATCTAAATACTTATCACGTGCTATCCATCATTTCTTGTTGACCTGTTCAGAGTTTGATTGAGGATTTTTTTTTGGGGGGGGGGTATTTTTATAATCTTTTTGGAGAGAATAAAAGTCATTTTGGCTGGTTTGGGGAATTCCAGGGTTATGACTACCTCTCCTGTCACTTGGAGTTTCCTCTTTGATAAATTTAACCACCTTTGTCTCTTGAATACATTTGATAAATAAACTAGGGTTCATTTTCCCAGAATCCCCAGTTATTTCAGCCACTGGGAACGGAGGAGAAACAGGGGAGATCGTCTCACTGCGGTTTGAATTGTCTTTTGAATTGGGGGTTCAGCCGGAAGGGAGACCCACTGAGACCACCACCCACCTCCTTACGTTGTCAAGCAAACGGTTCACCTGTGGAGAAGCAATGCTGGGGGACCAAACCAATACGGGGCGGTAGCAAAATTGGTACTCCCAATGGCGTAATTGATTAGGTTTTTTTTTAAAGTCCAACTGACCTGATTGATACCTGTCTAAATCAAACAGCCTTTAAGCCAGTGTTTCTCAACCTTGACAATTTTAAGGCATGTGGACTTCAACTCCCAGAATTCCACAGCCAGCAATGCTGGCTGTGGAATTCTGGGAGTTGAAGTCCACATGCCTTAAAATTGTCAAGGTTGAGAAACACTGCTTTAAGCAGAAGCCACTGTCAATAGTCACTGTCAATAGTTAGATCACTGTCAATAGTTAGATGTGAAGATGTTTGCTTGGATTTAGGTGCCCCCCATCTGGCCCAGAGGCGGCCCGTGCAGCAGAAAAATTTGCGTGGAATCCATGAAAAATAGATTTGTACAAGACAAATTTTCCCTTTTTCTTGAAGCATTTTTTGATGCTTCCCATTTTCTTTTAAGTTTTTGTTTCTCTTTGCGCTTTCTTTTGAATTTTCCTAAACGAAAAGCCAATAACCGTTTCGCATTTGCACAGCTAGAGTGCACGGACGCCTCGGCTCCCTTATTTTTTTTCTCTTCCAGCTCTGTGCCGACACAATTCTGAATCTCTGCCCTCTGAAGTGAAATTATTTTCTCTCCTGTCTTTCCGTTAACAGTGAGAAGATGCCGGCCGCCGACGTCCGGAAAGAGCTCCCTGCGGACCGCGTGCCTGCCGCCTTTTAAGAGAAGGAAATTTTTGCCAGGGCACATAACTGGGATGGACCCTCAGAATACTGCTATGTTAGGGTTGGGTTCTGGTTCTGAAGGGTTTTCTCGGAAGAACCCCTCTGCGGCCGCCACGGGCGTTAGGCGAGACGCGGAGCTCAATGGTAGTGCCAAAGAGGAAGAGGAGGAGAAGAGGAGGAACCGGGAGAAGAGCGGCGGCAATGAGGCGGGGAAAGAAGGGAGCCTGTCCGAGGCCCAGCAGCAGTTCTCGGTGAAGGAGACCAACTTTTCCGAGGGGAATTTAAAACTGAAAATTGGCCTGCAGGCTAAGAGAACTAAGAAGCCCCCCAAGAACTTGGAAAACTATGTCTGTCGCCCGGCCATAAAAACCACTATTAAACAGCCCAGGAGGGTGCAGAAAGTCGGGAAGATGGGCGAGGAGAAGAACGATCCGGGATCTGCCAAGCAGCAAGTGAGTTGTGTTTGTGTTTTAAGTTCCAGTTTGCGTACCCAGAGTGGGTTTGTTTTTAAATTGATAACGGGACTAGCTTTCGGTGTCTCTCTTCCCCCTTTCCAGTATAGGTTGTCCTCGGCTTACGACCTATAATTGAGCCCAAACTTTTTGTTGCTAAGCGAGACGTGTGTTC